AACAAGGAAAGGAAAGAGGAAAAATGCAAATACCATTTTTTTAACATATTGAATAATATTCATATGATTAGTTTAAATACACGGTATCTAGTCAAGTGGGACAATTAGTTAATTGGCAAATACTTTGATAATAGATTCATCTTTAGGTCAAGTTTAATATGAATTTACTGAAAGATTTTTTTTCCTATTGTCTCAAACTTAATTTCTTGGCATTTTTGACTGTTGGTCAAACAAAACAAGACATTTGAACATGTACATTTTGGGTTCTGCAGAACTTCCTCCATATATAATGCCATCTCCAGCTCCTATTAACAGACTGCATACAAAGTCAGTCTCAATGCCCATGTAGTCAAATTATAATAAATATTTGTCTTTTAGAGTTAAAGGAAAAGCCCACGACAGGAGTATTTGTTACGGTTTCTATCCATCGATACAAGGAAGTATTTTATCTGTAATCCAGATTTATCTGTGCCTGACATATTTTGGTAATAAATGTTTTTGGGTGGCAGAGCAATACAACATCTGTGGCAACATCATTGATGCTGAGCACTCACATACATTTCAATATTTAGCCTTACCGTACCGAACTATGAAGGAGCCTGCGCATATCTGCTCATAATTTCGACTTTATATCATAATTTCTATCCCGTTTCTATAGTGCAGAATTGGGCTTCCATAGTTCTGTGAATGCATAACTCCAGCCAATCCCAAGACGGGGTTTGTAACCAATTAGATGTAGAGACCGTGGTGACTGGCTCCGCCCCCTTACTGTCAAAAACAGCGTATGTGCAGATTCAGATTTTGCAGGACTTTTGCTCGTGAATGTTCGATTTACGCGCGTGCATGAACCTGATTTTGACAGTGATTTGCCGCCATAGAGGTGCACAGATTATGGGTCAGCCTTTCAGAGAGGATGATGAAAGAAAGGCTGTGTTGAAAAGCCACTGTCTGGACTGGCCCAATGGAACAGAATTGCTTGTTTAAAAAAAGGTGGACTTTGAATCTTTGTTTTCTTTGTGTTTGAGGCAACTGATCGTCGTTATACGCCCTGTCTACATACAGTGATGAACAAGCACGAAAAGCACAAAAAGCACATACGCGCGTGGTTTACGGTTACCTTACCATGCCTGTTAAAGGCCTGATAAAGCCGGTTCCAATACTCAAAAATGTTATTCACATTTGCTAAAGGTGAACCACAGAATATTTAATATTGCCCTGATAACATAAGCCATCCATCTTATCCAGCTGAACGACAATGAATGCCTCATGTTATAGCCCCATCTGCCAAAATACAGACAGCTTCCTTGGCTGTTATCCATTCAAATAGAAAAAAACAATCATACAGAACAGATACCATACTGTATTTATTCCTAATAGTCACTTGACATTTGTCACAAATGCCCATTAAGTCTGTGGCCCTGCAGCTTGAGATGGGATTTATTATCAGGTGTCCTAAATGACAAATGCTTCTATGGTAAACAGATCATTCACAGAAGAGAAAAGGGGATGTAAACACCTGTTTTGGGAGCATCATCGGCACAGTGGAGCGCTTAATACCAAACCCCAAACCAGAGTGATGTTGAAAGGTGAAATCTCTACACATCAATTTTGTGCCTAGCAGCACAGTGCAGCAAAGCTTATTACAGACTTCCAATCTGCCTCAAGTGTTCAGACGGTGTGAGTAACGTCGGGCCACTGGGACCTCGAAAAGCTTCATTAAAAAGCTTGGCCATCCAAAATGCATCCGTGGCAGCCAAATAAAGTGTCAGACCATGTTTTCCATCGGCACATTAGACCTGTGTAGACCTGAATTAAATCAAATTATGTCTGAAAGTACGAAATAAACCAAAGCCAGATGAGTGCATGTGTTTGGAGAAGGAGGAAACAGCTCTAGTACTAGATAACCAGTTGGGCTGTCGCTGCCTCTCTGTCTGCAGCTTCTTGTGTAACTTTGAAGAAATAGATCTTTCTAGTCTGCTGTTTCCACATACCCACATATTTTATTTCTCTTATCTGTGGGATACAAGGAGGCAGAGACCAAACTCCCCTATTCTTTGATCTATTGTGATGTGAAGGATCATTCCTGCACTCAGGTCTCTTTAGATTAAAGGATGTCCTTTCCTTAACCACAGCCAGGCTGTTTATTCTACCACAATGGAAGTATATGACTTTTTAGAGTGAATTTCACGCTGGCATTGGGGCGCTTTGTGCGCTGGCGAGTGCATCAGTGCTACAGAGTGCTGGACTGAGCGATAAACGTATTGCTAATCAATCATTCGGTGGCGTTTTTTTCTCCTTCCTTGTCTTGTATACACACACAGAATGTATACCAAGTCCTCTGCCATTTGATGTAACAGTAGACCTCAGACCCGATAGTGTGCACATTTCAATCAGTGGACAAATACACTCTGAATGCTTGGTGTGTGACTGCAGACTGAGGGCCCAACGGAGGGTTGTGATGAGCCATCTGTACATGAATGGGTGTGAATGAGTGTATAGCGACATATGTATAACGCTTTGAGTGGTTGAAAAACTAGTAATATAAGTCCATTGACCATTAAGTAGAAAGTAGAAATACCACAAGGAATAAATACTGGTCCAGGTACTATGTTACTCGCGCAGGTTCAAGTACAGGTAATGCGCACCACTGTGGAAAACATGCACACTTAAAAAGTGGTGGATATGCAGAGACAATGCAATACAGTAATATTATGTGTGTCCGTATAGTAGGTTGCGGTCGGGGGCTGCCGCCTGCATTCTCTCCTCCACTGTGTTAGATCCTCAGCCAGACAATTGTACTGAAATTCAGTCACAATAGCACAGTATCTTCCCCAAAGCAGAGCCCTTATCATGGCCCTGAAATGACTCGTTTCTGAGGATGCCCACAACACACGCTCCTCTGGGTCGAGTGCACATAGAGCAGTGCAATCTAGTCCTATTGTTCCATGCATGATAAACTGGGCTTCAAACCCCTTATTCTCACTCTATCTTTAGAGAGCTCGTTGCAATCTGTGAAATTAGCTACTGTAGCAATGCAGAACTTTTGCAGGCATTTTAAAAGGTATAGCGTGCAATTGCTCATCTCATTTCTCAGCCTTTGAAAATAGAAAAGGAATAAGTGCAACAATGCACAATATTGTTCAGAACATTCAAAGCTATTGTTCCTGTCCTATTATAATCTGTTTACTGACTGTAACGTCTGTTTACGACATGCAGTCGGTGTACAGCTCAGAAAGCCTGAAACTGAATCATGTCAGTTATCAATCAGGTTGACACTGGGTGTGTCTATCGAATAAACACTGCGGTAATAAATTGCTTTTACAAACATATCAGACAAAGCAGGCATTAATCTTAACATTTTGTGTGCAAGTACTGCTAAAGCAGCGAAGAGGAACGGCGTAGTGCAAAACCTCAAGGCGCTATTAGTTTATTTCACTTCAACTTGAATACTCTATTTGCTTTTGGTAAAAACAAATTACAGACATCATTTTATAAAAGGCTGTTTTGGTACGTACTAAGAGCAACTAACTGGAAGGAAAGACCCCCTTCCGGTGCATGTTGTTCTGTGGTTTGCTTGGAAGACTTTCCGATGCAATACGGCTGTGGTACCACTTAATTCTCTCTGATCTTGTTAAAAGCATACTCACTCCTGGTCTAGTTAGAGCTAAAGATCCGCTGCTTGTGCTTGAGAATCTTTGCCAGAAAGTGTTTAGGGCAGCCTCGGTAGACCTCCACCCCTCTGCACAAATTGCAATATTTTCCGATTGATCTACCGACACCAGAGATATCTACCAGTCAACGCATCACAAAATGGTCTCCAGTGTGCGGCAGAGCAGCCTCCCCCAGGGCGAGTAGCAATCCTTGGATTTTGGAACAACACAACCACAAAAGTCTGCTATGCACATTAGCTCGTTATTTACAGTGAGCCATAGAATACCTTCTTTGCGCCAGAGTGTTAATGGATTCCCCAAGCACATGTTACAGCAATCACCCAGTGTCGCAAGCATTGCACGTTCAACTGCAAAGCAATCCAGCAGCTCGGAATCATTTTGCTGCCTGTTCACAACATCCATAGCACCAGCCGAGGGATGTTGCAGCACATCAAGCTGTGAGCTTTATAAAACACCTCACTCCACAGTGACAGATATAAACAGTGCCACAGTTAACAGAGGTGACCCCACCAAAGGTTACCATCATGGCTCCCAAAGTGATGCTAACTGTACAAACAGCATCCTGACAACTGGACAAAGATCCACGAACAATGAAAGTATAACAGGCTGATGAACCCTAATCAATGTCACATATAATAATGATTCTTTAAAAGCTTTGTGAAAGAAACTTAATCATACTTGCTTGTGTGGAAATTAGTTGTTGGTTATTATTTGGACGCATGACACATGGCGTTTTTTGACTGGGTTAATTATTGCTGATACAAAGCAGTCACCCGCAGATTTTTAAACAGAGGGGGAAACCCAAAATATGACCTCACGTGATTAACGGTCCTTGTCTGACATCAAAGCCAAAAGGTAAATTCACTTTAAAATTGATTTTTCTCACTGTGTGAATGAGAGCAATGTTGATTTCTCTTTGGTAAAAATCCTCAGAGCAGCCTGCAGCTCATCAGCAGCAAAAAGCAGCTGGAGGCTAAAGGCTAATATACATAGCATATTATGTGTCTTACATACCTTATTTTTAATAAGGGGCGTGTTTCTCTTTTTATAAATTTTTATAGGAGCCTGTAGTCAACAACTGCTGTTTTCCTGAGTTTAATAGATTTCCAAGGACTAATTCAACATCGTGCTTAGTCTCAGACTGGCTACTTGATATGCATACAGACCACTAACTAAATGGCTGATCAAGCAAGGATCATACGGATCTACATTCCAACTGTGGTCCAATCGACTCGCAGCAAAAGCAGAAATAGACAGTGCCTGCCCTGGAGGATAGGTGACTTGAGATTGACAGCTATTTGTTTTAAACACGCATCAGCCATGCCCTACCTTATCTGGATTCTCTTCGATCCAGCTCTTCACCGTGTTCAAAGCAATACCAGCTGCAGGCTCATTCGGAAAACCTAGAAGAGAAGGGGAAAAATAATCAGTGTCCTACCCAGTTGTATTCATCACGGACATGCTAGAGGGAGGTAAAAATAGACAGGCGAACAGACAGACGGACCGATATCTCGACAGGTAGCAGCATTTCTCTTAAATCATTGGAAAGCAGCACAAGCTGTTCGTCTCTGGCGGATGAGACCAGCTGTCTGATAAACTGTTGTATACGGGTGTTGCCAGATGCACATGTTGGGAAAACACATACAGACATATTCAGCGGGCATAAAGTGTGGATACAAGCTACACATTTATGCATCGCACCCTCACTTACCGCAGGTACAAACTACTGCATGTTGGGTCTTTAAAGCTGAAACATACACATGGATGTGTGATCACGCACACTACCCGGTTTTATCCAGAACAAACATGTGAGTCAGTGCGTCTACGAAACAATGTGGTTAACTAGCGTAAATCCAGACTGAAGGAGTCAATACAGACACACAGATTGCAGTATGATTAATCTTTGATGAGGCCAGCTGAGGGAGGACTCTGCTGGATGCTGATCTCAAGATCATTTGCTGCCACTTTAGAGAACTTCCCAAGACCGGACACTTAGAGTGAGCTATTGACTGTAGGAGCCCCCGAGCCAGCCTCGCTACAGCTGGGGAGTATATAAGCCATTACTAAAAGCGCTGACAATCTTCTACGCTGTCACAGAGAAGTGGTTCTGTTGTCTCCATTTCGAAGTAACTGAGGTTGAGTGTGGGTTTTCTGTGCGATCCACAAAACTTGAAAAAAAGCATTTTATTCGAAAGCCTTGGGTTCAAAACTGCAGCGCTGGTATGAAGTGTGCAGATAGTGTAAAGTTAGGCCCAGAAGCAAATACACGTGCATAGCCCATTTTGTCAGTTCTGAGTGACCACCAAAGTTCTCTCGTATTATAACCTCTGCCCCCCATAAGCGATCACAGGTTCTTCCTATAACGACAGAGGTCTAGACCTCAATTTCATCCCACACCAGCTGATACAAGGGCCACGCCACAGTTGCAGCCTGTTGGTTATTGCATGGTTCCTATTCTCAAATGTGTTTCTTTTATCGGGGTCATTGCCACCACTATCACATACTTCGACCGATGAAACAGGCTTACAAGTACAGCAACGACCCCCACCCCTCAAGGTTGAAGAGAAATATAAAGGCACAAAGATCCAGCGTGACATTTCCAGACTTTGCTGTCGAAGTCTTTCAATAACTATCCAGTAACTGCTCTAAAATCAACTTCCATGACAACTCTCACCTACTGTATGTGGCCATCGCCGATTCCTCTCGCTTTCTGTTTTTACTCCTCCCACTCCTTCCCCCCAGCTAGCTTGACAGGAGTGGTCGAGTTGAGCACTGCGGGGAGGAGAGTAGATGAAGTGCTGCCGAGCCCTGGCTGAGTCCCCGTTGAAACCCCGAGGCCGAGCGAGCTGTGAGCTGCATACCAGCCGGCTGTGACGGGCGGTCTGCTCCTACACCTCTGTTAGGCAGTCTGCAGACGGTGCATGGGCCCGTTCACAACTCCTGCCCTTCAAAACCTGCCCCCCCCTCACCCCTCCACCGGAGCTCTGCGCTCAGAACCTAATCCGGCATGCCAAAATCAGTTTGCAAGTCACCTGACTATTCTCGTCGCCCAAACACACTTAACCTTTTCACTGATATCACTTTGTCTGGTGACGTTTCCCTTTCTGGAAATCTGTTTGCACACGTATGCAGGTGTATAACCGACGCTTCGACGCACACAACAAGTTACGTAGGCCAGCAGATGTGCGGGAAATGAAAAAAAGTGATGAAAATAACATCCACAGAGACAAGACCAGCTGTTTAGGAAGAGCACACGCAGCGGGAGAGGTGTCAGAGAAGTAAGTTTAAAAACAAACGAAATAAATGAGCAAATTATAATAAAAAGTCAGGACCTTGCTCGTACAACGCAAAACTTAGAAAGCTAAAAAATAGGTCTTATTCATAATATTAGCTCATTTCTGTCACTGGCTGTGGCTGGAAAAAATTGACTCTATTTAATCTATTTAGAGTGGAGTTTCTACAAATGCTCTATTGATTTGAGAGCTACACCTATTAGTCACAGCCCGGCTGAATGGACAGAGGGAGGGAGGTGAGAGAAGGTGAGCTGTAAAACCAGTGAAGAAGATAACAGGAAAGTAGATTGATAGATGTAAACAAACATTGGAAAAGAGATGACATAAAGAGTGGTAGATGGAAAGCTGTTGTAAGAGGGTCATAGCCTGCCTGGAGAACTCTGCCCAACGGGAACATCCACGGCCCAAGGTCAACAGCAATGTTTTCAGTGCATCGCCTGCTTTCTCCTTCTGGTCGTTTGTCTCTTTCACAGCATCCACTACCTTTACATCACCCCTCTTAGTCCCTGTCAGCTTGGCAAAGTATGTTTGTATGCTTCAAAACAGCGAGAGTACAAAACCCTAAAGCATCACTTCCGCATACTGTCTCGGCCATAAGAGTCACAGCCCTGTTGGTGCAAAGTCCACTTGCGGGAGTTCAAAATACTGAAGTTCAGAGAAGGGATTGAGTGGTCTGACGCTTTTATATGGTCCAGTGCACACAAAGTAAAATGTTGTTCAGTGTTGTTCTTCTACATCTTCTCCCCTCAACACCTCATTGTCTTTTGCTCCATTTGCTGTGTTGCGGGGTTCAGTGAAAGCTAATCTGTCAGGAGGTGGAGCGCTGGCTTCAGCCGCGGCGATGGTGGGCCCTCCAGGGTCCCTGCTCTGCCGTGGCTCGGCTCTCTATCCTACACTGGGAATACGGCCGGCTCGGGGAGATTTGTCTTAGTGAGGCGCGCTGATGGGATGTGTGCAGCGCAGCGCCGCTGATGAGGACTCAGGTGGCGCAGTGTTATTTCTGTTGAAGGCTCCTCTACTTCATCACCACGCAGGGCGCAGAATCCAGAGAGCGAGAGGAGGAAAGGGACCGTGGCACGCGCCGTGAGGAGACAAAAGGCTCCCGGCCCAGCTCGTTTACATAACATTTGCATTTATAGACTTAGCAATGTTGACAGTTGTTATGGGGTCAGCGACCACAATAAATATCCCTCGGTGACCATGGAGAATTAAGACTGCAGGTATTTTCAGTTTCTGTTCTGTTCCCAATCTTTTCATCCCTTTCATCATTTTGTTGTTTAAAATTCAAATCAAGTTTAAATTATATGACTCTGTTTGATTTTTTATTATTTTTTTAAATGGAAGACACATTTCCATTCATGTCTCGATGTCAGCCCTGTGAGTTAAGCCAAAGGGAAGACTCATCTTTAAACGGAATTCAAATATTCTATTTCTGTGATCTTGTGTGTGTAAGGCCTTTGTTAATATGAATAAGAAAAAAAGGGACCCGACTCAAATCTCTGATGCAAGCAAGAGACAGAGTCTTTGACACCTTTCATCGGTATATGTAAAACACCTTTAAGAACACTTTCGCTGTACGGTGGGTGACTTTCAAGGAATATGGTTTCATAAATAGAAAACCACTGCTAGATGTAAAAATACAGAGAAGAATTTTTGCTCATTGCTGTCTCTTTTGCTAGCAGGGCAAATATTTCATATCCAAAGAGTTAACTTTCACCACAAACCTGTGAAGACGCCACAACAGTTTTTTTTCCATTGAGCACCTTTTTGTGAGAGAATGTGGCCTTGGTCCAAGAAACATAACTTGACAGAATTCTAGAAAAATATAAAGTACAGCTTTCCTTCCCTGGAGGAAAGACTTGTATCATCGGTCCCACTTTGCTACCCTCAGTTGCATTCGGTGAGGTTCACGTCTCTACTCTCGTCTTTCATTTTGATGAGCTGTCTTCCTAGAAGCAGCATGCAGCCCGAGGCTGCGGCTTCTGGCACTCGTAAATTCACCAGAGGTGTTGATAACGTAAGATAGGAAATCTGCTAGGGAAAATAAAAAAAACGTCAACAACCGAAACATAAAATACCAATATTTATTTGATTTTGAAAGGTTTTAAAATCTAATTTCTTCTTTAAAATAATATAAACAAATCTTCCTTTTTAATAAAACCTTGATAGGGAGCAGAGAGTCTGTCCGCTTCATCCAAAGACCACTATTATTATATATATTATAATATTATACTAAACATTGTATAATACAAAGTACATTAGATGATTGGGTTTTTTGCAGCAGGAGGAAATCATTAAGTGCAGCAAGCCGTGTGTGTTCATCTGAAAAGGGAGAGCGAAAGAGGGTTGTTACCCCATCAGGGCCCAGAGGAGAGGTGAGCCGACCTGGGGTGGAGGACAGAGTAGCGCCCCAGGACTCCAGACACCAAAGTGTGAGTGTCAACTGGCCCGGAGCTCCTCTCCGGATCTCCACTAGGAGACACGGCAGGGCTGTGACCATGACCGACTTTGCAGCCGGCGGAAGGAGACGGAGACAAAGAGCGATGGGAGGGTGCTGTGTACGGAAGACGGGCAGAAAACAAGGTAGGAGGAAAGAGAGCAGCTTCCGTGGCACAGCAGATGATGACCTTCGTTGGAAACATTCCATTTAGGTGATGCTGAGCTTTGTCCTACATGCTAAAATTAGCACCTGACATTTCCCTTATAAAATAAACATCACAAAAGAGCATTTCACATGCAAAAGCTTAATGCTCAACCAAGTTTCTCAAAGGCCTAAATCTGTTGTCCTGTGGGCTGGAAGTATTTTTTTTTACATTAGGCTCATCATCCGTGAAAATGGAGGGAGGCTATTGTTGAGTACAACGCACAGTGTGTGACTCAGTTAAATGGGCTACGAAGCTTGCGCTCCCACCGAGCGCACACTCTGCTACCCACTGATACAGCACGTTGCCCCTGTGTTCCTTGAAATTCCCAACCCAGCTGGGCTAAGCTCCCTGTAGTAAACCCTAGGTTTTAAGAAGGGGACTCTAGCCCGGGCCATCTCTTAAAGGCCAGCAGCGAGCCATCACCGTCGGGAGATAAGGGGCCATGAATGTCTCCAGCCTTCCTAATCCTCGACAGGGATTAAGAGAGCCGCAGTAGGATGCGAGATGGAGGAATTTATTTTCACCCGCTTGACACCTTTGATCTGGACAGTACGGTAGAATGGCAGCGTGGACATACCAGTAGAGCCTGGCTGGATTACATCCGCATATCTCCCACAGCCACCAGTCAGTCCAAAAACTCCTCTATCAACAATCCTCAGATCTGTCACAGGGACGGATGAGCCAAAGGTAGAGGGTGAGGAGGAAGCAGGGAGATGTTGGTCCAGCGCGTGGTGTGGGCCTCAGATTGTTTTCATAGGGTTAGAAATGCATGCGCGCAACGGCATTAGGTACTAGGCTGTATGTTCATGTCCTTGCTTTTGGCCAGTGCACGTTCAGCTCTGTTAGATAGATCTCAGCAGACACCTTCTAGACTCTAGAGCTCATTGCAAGGCTTTCAGAAGGTGCTCTTTAAGGCCCGGCGTAGATGTGATCTCCACAAGGTTAAATTGTCAACAATGCCTCTGAAGATGGGATTTTTATGTACGTTGCCTTGCTTGAGTTCAGCCTCTGTGAGTGAGAATGACGTATGGGGCAGGAAAAAAAACCACAACGGACGAGGGAAGCTACGGGATTCAAAAAGAGAACACGACCTCTCTAAGTCTTAGTAGTTGGCCGCATGGCAATGATCTTGTAAGACATTGAAAGGTGTCTCCTCTTTGGAAGGAATAATCCATTTAAACTGGGGTCACGTGGCTATGATTGATGTGCAAACAGCAGCAGCACTTAATAACCTCTACCATGCTGGGTGACCCTGTAGCCCACTGTGGGCACCAGTTTGTTTATGGGTGGTACCTCCGACACACTATCCGGGCTGAAATTCTGTTGTGGCTAATGGGCCGGACTGAGGGATTGGACTGTCAGCGCAGTGTGAGCCCTCATTTTTCTTTCCAGGCGTCTAAGGCACACCCAGCGCACCCCTGCTACACCCAACCTCCCTGTTTTGCCATCATCTGTCAATGGTGACTGAGTCTCCCGGAATATGGAGGCGTGAGCGAGAGTGTCAATTAGCATTAGCTTTCCTGACAAATCTATTTTTCTCACCACAAGGGCCTCGGATAACTTGTTCCTGATCCCTCTCTGTCACAATGTTGTAGGCAGAGGATTTATTTTTCTACAACAATGCAAGTGTGAAAACGGGTCGAGCACACGTTTGTACACAAAGTGGGTGGATGACAGTGTGCACATATTAAAATTTAGATCCCTTACTATTCTACAGCGACAGAGAGGTATGTCTCTATCTCTATCTAGACAGAGACAGAGCCATGGCCTCTCACACTAAACGGCTTTTGTTTACATCGCTGAAATGGAAGTTGACCTTAAAGGTTATTTGAAATGTACAGGAAAATGTCCAAACGCCTGACACGCAAGCACGGCCCCTTTCAGAACATGGCAGCACTCAAGGGGCAGAGGGAGGACTCCTGCAGAATAACACAGCAGCACGGTGCTATACTTCAGTTCCTTTGAAAGTCCCTCTTCTATTTGACCTCTGCTTTGTGAAGATCTTCAGTCTTAATCAGCGGTATTGTTCAGAGCAGTAGCAGTTATGGGAAGCGCTAAGCCATTTATCGAACCGGCTGTTTAATCCCCCTTCGCTGCACGCCTGGCTCTGCACAGCCGACCCTTTGAAGCGAGGGGCGTCTGGCGGAGCGCTGTGATAGGCTCCTATAGAGGCACAGGGCACCAGAGCAAACAACAACAAGCAGCGCCCTGATCAACAGTGTCGAGTACAAACAGTGACCTTCTCCCCCATGCATGGACGGGTCTGCCTCTGTGTCATTACAACAGAGATCCAAAATGCCACTTATCCATTCTGAAAGTAGACACATATGTATCCATCGCCTGGCATTCTCGATTGTATTTATTTATTTAAATCTATAAAAGTGTTTTCACTGTGAGCAAAATGAATATACTTTTACTGAGGTTGGTATTTAAGTCACTACAAAGTTGGACAATAATGAGTCAATAAGTCAGTGTAAGCTCTGCTGTATCTCAGGATGCCACTTGGCACATCTTAAACCCTTCCACCTACATGGAAGTTTGAATGTATCGACTTGGTATTTACGCACAGACCTGCAGCTGTTCGGTGATTTGATATATGTTGTTAAACTGAAGTGAACTGTAAATTAAATCATTATTTTTTTCCACTTCCTGGATGTAAGGGATTTAGATGCCTTTTGCTCAGACATTCTTAATAAAAGACAAGATGAAATAGTTTGAAAGGAGTCACACTCTCACTGTGTGTTTATATCTGGTTCAGTAAGCATTTTGTCGCATTCTAGAATCAGTGATTTTCTGATCAGTAAGTGTATGTTCTGTAAAGATTGCATCACTTAGTTGGGACATTTCAGAGAACAATGTAAGGTATTCAGTAATTCATATGCAGCAAAGAGACTTTTCTGAAGCTGTAAAATGCATTGAAGTACTTTTGATAAATGACTAAATCCTGAATGAGGTTTCCATGACCCTGAAGCACGCTCCCAGCCGAGTTGATTGTAGTTTTCTAAATGTGTGTTTCTTCAAACAGTATAGAATGTTTGTCAAACATAATTATGCCTTAAACAGCACCCTATCAGTTATACCAATAATATTGTGTCTGATGTAAACCATAAATGGAACAAGCACAGCAAACATTCGCTGGCTGGACAAAAAAAGCAACACATACCATTATATAAATAGTAAAAAGTAGTAAAGTTATAAATAGTCAAGAATTTAGAGCAGAATTAAGTCCACAGAGCAGCTTCAAGCCGCCTTGTTGTTATAGTGTTCAGCTAGATTATATCGTTCGCTCTGAAGGAAAGCCTCTGGCTCCTCCAGTGACGGATATGTAAACCCATAATGGCTTTAAAATTGGGGACTGGAGAGTTCACTTTGACGTTTAAGAAGCAACCTTTGAATTTGTTTCACATCGGGCCCAATTGCATCATTATCCTTGTATAGTACCGTGCGTTGCAACATGTTGTGGGAACAGTGTTTGCACCGCAGGAAGCACCGGGCCTCCTGAAGTGGGCTTGCTGTGGCTGCAATATGATCATCGAGAGTGATCAGAGCATTTAATACATCTCAAGAGAACATTTCCCAAACAATTACAGATTCTCGGTCAGGTTTAACAGTTAGAGGCTCATTAGTGGCCTTTTTTAAACAATTAAAAGAAAAAGTAAAAGAACTGTGGTTGACTAAAAATTGATCTTGGTCATTTTAAATGATTTAAAGCAAATACATCTTGCACATCTTGGCTGCTTTAATAGAACTGTATATACTGCTCTGACACTGAATGAAAATGATCATGTTTGGTAACCCTTATATATTCGGCACCCTCTTCCCTATTATTAGAGCTTGTGTGCAAATCCAATGAACGGCGTTGACTGGAGACAGAAGAGTGAAAATAATGAAAGTGAATAATGATGTCTTCTCAGCAGAGGCAGTTTACTATATTATATAAACTCCAGCATCCTCTGCATCCAGCATCATTTACCGTCAGAACTTCAAAGGCTGTTTATATCGCCATGTCTGGCATGTTTTCAATGTGACTTTGTTTAAATCTAATTAGCACACAAGCTCTTCGCCAGCAATGACTTGCTGCATATCGGGCCTCGTCCCGTGAGGGAGCACAAGGATTGTTCGGAGTCTAAATTCTGTTCAGCTCATACTAGCGTGTGTCTTTTGTGGAGTTAGGTGAACTTGTTGGTATGCTGCAACAAACTGTGTTCGTCTTCAAAGATGACGTCTCTACCCTGCTGTGCTCGATGTAGACATTTTAATATGATCCAGTACAATTATTTGTCCCCTTGGAGAAATTCATTGTTGTACTTCTTCTTCATTTACTCTCTCACACACACACACACACACACACACACACACACACACACACACACACACACACAACAAACTTGTAGATATGTCAGAATAATGGGCACAGCAGGTGAAGCAGTTAGGGTCCTAGTGCCTTGCTCACATGCCTAGGAGGTGAACTATCGACTCTCTACAGACTGTGCTTTATATACATATAACATGTATATAAAGCACAACCTAAAACAGTGAATCAAACAGAATGAGAAGATTTAAGCTTACCATAGATGCCTGTGGATATACATGGGAAGGCCTGTGGAGACAAAAACAGAGAAAGGCAAAGTTCAAATACATGCACATACAGTAGATGGTAAAAAATGACCAAGTTGCAAGTACTTTTATCCATCTCATTAAACTGTGTCCACCGAAGACCACCAACTGTACTGTACCTCTGTGTGTTTGTTGATTAACTCGACTGCTTCACGTGTTATTCCCAAGAGGAGCAATTTACAGTACCATTTGCACACATCCCCGCAATGCTAATACACAACTAAATTGTAAACCAGCTTCAAACTCAAACACACACATAATGTTATTTCCTCTTGACTGCAATAAACAGACACGTAAAATGTATCCTGCACATGAACACATTCACACATTAGATTGCTTATCACCATCACACCGCTGCCTTAATGAGGCTACTGTGCTGTTGGTAATCTTATCATGCCCTGTTGCACCAATGATCGTGATGGCCCAAAGACTTACAGTGATATTCGCATATGTTGCTTGAACTCAAAGGTATCCACATTTTTGTTTTAGCCTTTTTTATTTATCTCTTAAATTTAAATATCTCAATAGACAGCTTTCATTCCAAAGTTGATGCAAACTCTGCTCGGTCTCAATGACAACGCCACATTCAGATCAATAGCAGGAAGCAATCATATCCCACCAAGCACTAAAAAGCAGCTGGGCACATATACACAAAACAAATCCGACATGCAGAGAATCAGAATACATATGATGAATATTTTCAGGAGCTTAAGAGCTAAAACCTGAAATTTCCAAGGAGGTTATAAAAAGTAACCACCTTGTAATAGTTGCTTTGTAGCCCTTTGCAGCGGACATATTAATTCAAGCATGACTTTGTGGCTGAAAATAGTTTAATTATTCTTTACTTCTGTGAGCAAATATACTATGATGCATAGGCCTTGCTCTAATCTTCCCTATTTCATATTCATTAAGTATATAAATAAACAGTAAAGAGAACAGATTTTTGTCCTCAAAAGATGCTGAATACATACTTTAGTCCCTGCATTCATCAAAAGGCAAAGCCACCACATTAATATAATGGCAACTCACAACTGGAGAAATATAACACGACAAAACACAACCGAGATTCATCAGAGAATCTGTTAAATATGTCAAATTCTCCCCGTGCCAAAACGAAGCCCAACAGTTTATTTTGCCACACTGACACTGTCAGTTGCACAAGTTGCATTTAGAAACAAGCTGTTGTCCCAAGATAAATTCATTTTAGAACTGAAAACACAATCAATAGATCTGAAAGATAATACAAAATACATTTCTGCTCATATGATAATTATACAAAGAAGACAGGGCTCTACTCTGGTGAGTGTTTTCAAGCGATGATTAAAAATGGAAAAAAGTACATAACTGATAAAATATGTAGAGCCTTTTCTCTAAAGCAGCACAACCTATACTTTGAAATACAATCCACTTTTCGTCCTTGCTTTATGCGGCGAGGAATGAGTCTCTGTTTGTGCTCTTCTTTACCCGCTTTCTGGTTCCGCCTGTCCAGGTGAATCTTTCTTCTGTAAGATGATTTAAATCTTTTACCGAAGCTCTGACCTTTCCAGACGACTGTCTGGGTCTGACACAAACCACAGATGATGAAGCGTGGAGAAGCATGGACATTTTTAGTCCGGTGCCGAGTGCTGTCCAGGGCACATATGGAGACTGACAGCACAAAACGGTCAAATATTCAGTGGCAGTAGCAGAAAAAAAATCATAACTGGGTGCACGTTGGATAACGATTTGTATCTTTGTCAAAATGAACAAGTGCACAATTGAATTCAGTGCTTCGTACCCATTGGCAGTAAAAATCCCAATAGTTAAATTATGCCAATTCTACATTTGGCAAATCAATAGAAAAAGGACTTTTACTTCTGCAGGGGGAATCTATTGAAGCCACGTAATAATAAGGAGGGAGTCAACCGATTTTAATCTTTAGACGAGAAGAGCCTTATTTCCTGTCTCAGCTGCCAAACTGATCCCGAGACAGAAGCCTCATTATCTTCGCTCAGCTGAAAAGGTGGTGATGTCAGTCCCCTCAACTTGAACTTCTGCTGGGATGGCAGCTACACCTTAACACATCTGTGGCACTGGCATACCATCAGCGTAATCACCTAAAATCTTTTTTATTAGCTCCCTTGCTAATCGAGGAAAGGGTTATTGATCTTTCTGGTGTGGAAATGCATGGTGCATTTAACTTAATGGCGTGCTGAAGAGAAATGAAACCCTTGTGGCACACGCACGTGTCACTAATTTGTTTAAAGGACAATTATTGCGAGAAGTGAAAAGACGTAGATATCCAATAAAACTGTAAAGCCTGGAGACCTTCTTTCCAGATCTATTATTAAGACACACACTGACATCAATTACACTAACATTTGCACAAATGATTAACTTGACAAATCATCAATATCTGTGAATATCAACATGCTAGAATATTATTTATTGCGCACTATACATTTTGTGAAAATCATTAAAACCCTCCGCTGTTGATGATCTTAAACTTTACCAAAGTCAAGGGGAGGAAAATGTTTACGGAGGGAGGACACATCTCCCTAGCATTTATTATTATACGATGTGTCCTCAGTAAGAGAAAGTTGTTTGTTAAAGCCACATAAAAGCAAAAGCAACAAGTTATTGTAATAAAGATTTACAGCCAATTTCAGAAGCAGCCACCGCGTGCAACAATGTAAGAATAGCTGCGCTTAATTATCGTTCTTCTTTCGCGTCAATTCTGGGCCACCGTGGAAGCTATTCTGATAGTTGTGAGCGTACATACCTTTGCTTACATCGGATAAGGTCCAGTTTTAATTAGGACAGTCAGCAGTATATGGGACCTAGGATTTGTGTTTTATGTTATTCTTTCTACTTCTGGCTGCTCATTAGCAGTGAGTCAGCATGTTCGCATGCGCCCTGGCATGAGGCTTCGCCTGACATGTTGGCTTTTTGCTGATTTTCTTTGCTTAGGGAGTGTTCAGAAATTGGTCACCAGGGAAATTATTCTGTTGCTAGGGCTCCTCCCTAATCTATCACATCACTTAAAGTGGAGCACCTTTCCTCTCAGAATCTCTGCACACTTATTTAGTCCACAGCATATTAAGTCCAGCACAGAGTGGCTAAAGTTGTCTCTGCTGGAAAAACTAAACTTGTGTTACACTTATGCATCCTTCTCATTAAGTGCCAACTATAATCATCATGTATTTACACTGACATCCAAGTATTCAGATTTGTTGAATTGCCACAACCACCACCGCTTATTAAACACTGATCACCCTGAAGTGTGTCTGGAGTTTTGCAAAGACAGAGCTCATAAAACCAAGTCACTGGCATTCCGCCGAGGGCATGAGTCATTTGTTAAGCAGCAGGAATGACACGGTAAAGAGCTCAACCTGTGGCAAAAAGCGGATGCCCTGCAGTACCCATCGCCTTCTCATGAGCAGACGGGTACCGGCGAGAAACCTACGCACGGGCGCAGTGACTCCCGGGGGAGCACCTGGTCTCGGCTGGCTGAGTAAATAGTGCTGGACACAGCGGTGCTGCCCCGTAGCTTGAAGGCCTCCGAGCCTGTTTGCAAAGGGAAGGTCTGCTTATAAATCACGGCAGCGAAGGGGGACCTTGTGCAAATAGGACCACAGGTATTTTATTATTCACCGCTGTTGCCAGTACAGTGTGGGTTGGCATCAGTATCCATATCAGAACATGAAACCAGGTGAATCCCCTTTGTTGACTTTGGTAGTTCTTTAAGCAGGTAAGTCTCGCCTGGTCGGACTTGGCTACCTGCTGCTGGGAAACACTTGTTACGGTAACAAATCAGGGTATTCAAATATACACATTAACACCCTTTTATTCTGCATATTACCACACTATATTCTAATATGAGAGATGTTTGTTTAAGTGTCCTTACGCTAAACAGAGGATGGAGAAATGCAGAGGGTGAGGAACCTGGGGCTTAATGACCCGAGTCCCATCACCATTTTTTTGATATCTTCCATCATCAAATATATCTATTACCACCATCTAAGTGTCCATTAAGGAGTCAGCCCCACTGGCTCTGTTTACATGCAGGGTCTCACTTACAATAATACTCTGGGAAACACAGCTTATCAAGGATAAGATGTTTTCATGCATCTTTGCCGATGGAGAATCTGAGTAAACAACAACGTTCTTATCCTCTTCTACGGCTCCGTCAGCAATGAAGTATGAAAATTGTCCACCACTAAGTAAATCCTGTCCCCAAGCAACAGTAGGTGACTCATACGGAGACAGCCCGGACAATAGAAATTATAAATAATCCATAACACAAGGTTTTTGTTGACAACAAAATCTAACATTTTGTGCGAGTGTGAGTCTGCAGCAAACAGCGAAAGGGATGCCATGTTCACCTTGTATCAATGTGTTATTGAAATATGCCATCTAAATATGGTCTTTTGTAATCAAGTGTGAGGCTTATTAGGTCAATCTAATTAAAAGATTATAGTGCGTTGTGCATGTCAACTAGCAAATGATACATCTGTAATGTGCACGGTTCAATAAATAATAACACATGATTATGATTTAATAAAAGCCAAAGTCTGATGCAGGGTCAAGCTGTCTGTGGGCTTCAGACGTGATGCAGGTGTGTAACATGGGTTAAAACACTTCCACAGTGGGACAAGTGGAGCATTGAGACTGTATTAAAAATGGATAGTTGTTCACCATATTGTTTGGCCTTAATGAAGCTACGGTTGTTGTATGGTTTTGCTTATCCTACATATGCACATGGAGCCGGGGGGGTTGAGTTGAATGGGCAGACAAAACGGTGTAAATGCTGAACCCTGTGGAGAGGGCAGACCAGTGGAGCAAATACAAGCAGCTACTGAGCTGATGGCCGCTTGATTCATTGGTCCATGACCAGCTGGTTGATGAAGCACAGTTTGCCCTAAAGCTCAAAACTACAGCGTACAGCTACAGCTTTTTTTTTCTTTTCAATATGATCATTATATTGAGAACTAGAAGAAACGT